CTAATCAATAGTCCCCAGCTCCAGTAATCCAAAATCTACGATGAGGCTCCAGATACCGTTAAGTATTTCCCGTACCTCAAAGGCCGTCTCTTGAAGAAGGCTGATGTTGATGAAAAAATCCAACATTGTCTCAAATGTGCAAGTGCAGCCTTTGGATGCCTGAAGAAATGGATGTTCAAAGATTGCAACATCAGATCTGAAACCAAGCTCATGGATTATCAAGCAACTGTGATCCCCACCTTGCTGTACAGAGCTGAGACATGGACAACAAAAAGGAGACATCTAAAGTTGTTGGAGAAGTACCATCAATGCTGCCTGCAGAAGATCCTTTGAATCCAGTGGGAAGACAGACACACCAATGTTAGAATCCTCCTACAAGCTAATACCATGAATATTGAGGTGATTATCATTCAACATCAACTTCGTTGGGCCAGCTATGTCATCCAGATTTCCGACTCCAGACTCCCAAAGCAAGTTTTGTTCTCCCAGCTCAGCCAAGGTATATGCTCAGGAGGGGAGCAGAGAAACAGCTTCAGGGACATCCTCAAGGCTGACTTAAAAAAAAAAAAAAAAAGCAAAATCAACATCAAACTGTGGGAGACTATTGCCCAGGACTAACCCAAATGGAGAAGGGTCTGCTGCAGGGATCTCAGTATGACAACAGCAGGAGATGGAAAAGTGGAAGTGGCAGAAACAATGTGCTGTAGACAAAAATCAAGAATGCAGAGCCACACACTTCACACAGAAACATGTCTGAGCTGCAGTATAGTCTGTCGATCATGGATAGGCCTCATCAGCCATCTTCATACACACAGATAAGACAATCGTGGAAAGCAATCATCCTCGGCTGCAAGGAATTGCCGAAGAGGAGAGATACATTAATTATGTTTAGAAAGATTAAGACTTATTATAGTATTTCACCCATTCAAGTGCTGCTTGAATTTTTTCTCCCTGATAATCAGCAGGTGTCCCCAAATCTTCGCCCACTTAATATTAATGCAAAGAAGAAAATGCACAAGCTGAAGATATTTTTTTGGCTCCAAATCTCATGTTCCTCAAAGCCCATGAATGTGTTCCTTCATAAGTTTTCCATGACAAGAGATGTTAAGGCATTTGGCAACTTGGGTCTTTGGATCTACATATCTGTATACACATACCTACTAACTCTGAACCCTTGCTGCATACATGATGTTTTTGTAGAATGGGAGAGCATGCCTGCTGCAGTGCACTTTCACACAGAGGCAAAACTTGTCCTATAAAGAGACTGAGACCAACTGCACTATCATGCAAATTGACTGTTTTTCAAGCAAGAAGTTGTAAATTATTGCATTTATGGGTAAGGGTTATTTCTACATAACATGACATTCTCCAACTTAAATTAAAATGACCGTTACCTGCTGGAATAAAGCATAGTTCCATCACGTTGATATTGCTCATCTGCATACAAAGAAGAAGAAGAAATTGTGGTTGCTAAGGAAGCTGCTTCAAACAGAGATGGAGTACTTGGCACTAAATCTGGCCGGTGCCGGGAATCTAATACTGCATAGGGAAAAAATGTATATAAAAATATTTTCACTGTAGGCTGTTTTAAAGTTCATTTATAACTACTAGAAAAGATAATATTCTACCCTATCTTTATACAAGTACACACACGCACAAGTGCTGTTAATACACTCTCCAGCAGCAACTTAACATATTTTAATTGACAAGACACTAATGGTTATCTAACCAGTGTACATGCTTCTACCTACTCCTAATCTCCTTAATGCCATAAGATTAGTTTCTACTGCTACCCAATACATTTAGCAGAATACACAGCAAGGCCAAGGACATTACTTAGCAGTAATGTGACTATATGAGAATTTCTGCTAAGAGAACAGCTCGGTCTTAAAACTTCATGTTCATACTGAGTGTATTTTGAGAAATTGTGGCCTTACTGTCTAGGTTAGCCATTCTAAAATACTACCTTCTTCATCAAGACTGGAATAACTTTGTCCTTCAGTAAGCATGTCACGCTTTTCATCCTTCCATTCTTGGCTAACAGCACAAACGATTTCCTGTGACGTTGCCTTTAGAGCTGCAATAGAATTGCATCGTCTCTTAGAAGGAGAGGACCTTAAAGCTGCATGAAGAAAAGAGAGTTCACAATGAATAAAGCTACTGGATTATAAACATTTTACCAATCATTAACAGAGGGTTTGTAACTTTTTTTTTTTTTTTAAACATAAATCAACAGGCTGCTACCTACAAAAGCTATTTCTAAATTCACAGATCAAGCAAATATCATTTTTATTCTACAGAGTTTATATCAGATATTACCTATCAAAGTTTTAATTTTTTTGATTTTAGAACATGCAATTTATATGCTTTTTTCCATTTCCTAAATTACAAACCATCCCTTGAATATCTGCCCAAAAAGTCAGAAGAAAAAAGTAGGTAGTGTAAGTCCCATCTACAAGTGAAATTTTACCAGTTAATCAGGCCTTAAATGGTCATCCAGCCACATGCTCAATCAATGGCATGATAAAAGCAGGAGGAAGCTGCAAAGTTATTGCACAAATTGTGTAATAACTTTGGAGCTGTTTCCTATCATGCCATTAATTGAATGTGTGGCCAGGAGCTCCGGAGGCTGGGAACCCTATCAGTTGATCAAAGCCCCCAGGTTGGGAGGCCCTTATGCACCCCCACACCTGGGAGCTCCCAGCTGACAGGGCTTCCTGCTGTGAGGGGGCAGGACCCAGGGGCTTTGGATCCCTGTGGCTAGGTCACCCTACAGTTCCCTGTGGCTGAGAGACTGCATGAGCATGAGCTGCAGTCTCCCAGCCACAGAGAACTGTGGTGTGCTCCCATGGCTGAGAGATCCCATAAGCTGCAGTCTCCCAACCATGGGAGTTTATAGTGCATTCCTATGGCTGTGAATCCCATCAACTGAGAGGACTCCTACCTGCAGGAGCTTGCTTCTTACTGGTGCAGGGGGAGCCTGTGATTGGCCTGATGGAATGATGGGATCTGATTCATGATCCCACTATCATGCCTCCTGCCATGCACATGTAGCATGGCAGCAGGTGCAATTGTGTGAATTGTGCATTAGATCCCAATGCATCTTTATGTACATGTGTGGAGGGGCTCATAGGATAACGGAATGAAAGGAGAAGAGACAGTAATTAAGAAGGTAATCAAGCCTTTGAACATTTCCTGTGGATTACTGACAAGCTAACAGAGTTAATGGCTTGAGGATAATTATTGCAATACTGTAAAACTATCTGTCATGTCTAAGGATTTCCATGACACTTTAGCAAACATCTACTTTACATGAAGTAAACATTTCCAAGATATTAAAGCTTGTGCATTTTCTAATCAAGTTATGGGGCTGCTTCATGAAAATCTCCTTTAGTTCATAATGATTTCCAGAGACTGCCATACCTGCATAAGTAGTTTAGGCAAATGCAGGATCTAACAATGGCCACTGCTGTTTCTCACTCAAAACCCATACTTATGCAATCTCCTTTCCCAAAAGCTTTTGAATAATCTCAGTTGTTGCTTTTAGTTATGAAATGTTTCAGATACCCCAGAAATAGACTACAGCGGTTCTTCAAAGAAGCTGGAGCTGGTGTTGGGACAAGATTTGGGATGAGAAGTACCCACTGCACATAGCTAAAAGCAGGTACATGCCTTTGGAAGGAAAGAACAAGATATACCAGGCCTCCAGCACAAATGATCCAGTGCTAGTCCAGAGCCCCTTTGGAAATAGTGCCACAGGCTTATGACTAGGGGTATTATTGTTTATCATGACATTTTTGGTGCTGCTGTTTAAAGGCAGTAAACCCTTGCTGGATTTAATGGGCATTGAGATGAGATATTTCAAAAGCAAAGTGAGGATTAATAGGTGGTGAAGGCACTAGAATGGGACTTAAAACGAATGGGTTCATTTCCTGGTTCTGACACAAAGTTCTTTAAAAAAAAAAAAAAAGTCTCTTGACGTAACTGTGACTCGCTCTCCTCCTCATCAAGCCTCAATCCCCCAAATTTATGATCAGGAACAAAGTCCCTGGACGAGGGTGTCAGGGTGGATGTTGTCTTCCTAGACTTTAAGAAGGTCTTTGTCACGGTTTTCCACCAGATTCTTAAAAAACTTGGTGACTGCAGCATTGATGCCTGCAGTCAGATGGGTGGCGAACTGGCTAGATGGTCACACCCAGAGTGGTGGTGGACAGGTTGTTTTCAACCTGGAGGGATGTGGGCAGTGGGATCCCCCAGGGCTGAGTCTTGGGGCCTGTACTATTCAACATCTTTATCAGCGATCTGGATGTGGGTGTGGAAAGCACGCTGTCCAAATTCACTGACGATACCAAGTTGTGGGGTAAGGTGGGCACACTGGAGGGGAGGGACAGAATCCAACTAGATCTAGACAGGTTGCAGAGGTGGGCAATGACAATAGGATGGAATTCAACGCAAACAAGTGCAGGGTACTGCATCTAGGGAGAAGGAACCAGCAACACACCTATAGGCTGGGGAACACCCTTCTTGTCAACACGGTGACAGAAAGGGATCTTAGAGTCATTGTTGACTCCAGGATGAACGTGAGCCACCAGCGTGAGGAAGCGATCAGTAAGGCTAACTGCACTTTGTCGTGCATCTACAGATGCATCACAAGCAGGTCCAGAGAGGTGATCCTTCCCCTCTTTGCGACATTGGTCAGGCCACAGCTGGAGTATTGCATCCAGTTCAGGGCACTACACTTCAAGAGGGATGCGGCTAGCATTGAGAGGGTCCAGAGAGGGCCACTCACATGGTCAAGGGGCAGCGGGGCAGGCCCTACGAAGAGAGGCTAGAGGGCCTGAACCTATTCAGCTTCCACAAAAGAAGGCTGAGAGGGGATCTGGTGCCCGTTTACAAACTCACCAGGGGGGACCAGTGGGAATTGGGGGAGGCTCTGTTCCCCCAGGCACCACTGGGGGTTGCTACGAATAATGGCCACAAATTGTTAGAGAGAAGGTTCAGGCTGGACATCAGGAGACATTACTTTACAGTTAGGGCTGCCAGGCTCTGGAATGGGCTCCCAAGTGAGGTGGTACTCACTCCTACCTTGGGGGTCTTCAAGAGGAGGCTGGACAGATATTTGGCAGGGGTAATATGACCGCGGCACCCATTCGCACCCGGGGCAAGGGGTTGGACCTGATGATCTGTTTAGGTCCCTTCCAACTCTAAGTACAATGTCACTATGTCTTCAGCATAATTTGTTTCCCTTTCACCCTTTGTCTATTTAGCGGTCACACTCTCGAAGAGGCACAACTTCATACAGTTTGGTATGATGCATCAGGATCTAGGTTCTGTGTTAGTGAGAGCTGACTTCCCTATAGTTGAGTCTAGGGCTCATCTAGTTTTAATTCTCACTTGCCTTTTGTTTTATTTTTGTCCTAATCAGTGTTCCAAAATCCTCCTAGTTTAGTATCAAATGCAAATTCCATGAACATAGTTAACTTCTTACTTCAGCTAATTAAGGAGCTGTTATAACAGAATGACTTTGCACTGGTCACAGTGCAACACAGTGAACACCTTCAATCAAATTTGGCACAATGCCATTTGCCATTACTCTTCCACTGACTCTTGAGCCATATTTCTTTCTGTGACATCAAAATAAAGTTTTATAAGACCCAATCATGCTATTAACTACAACCCACATTTCAGTACATATTCATAGATTCATAAATTGTATTCCTATTCATTAACTTTATAATTCTACCAACAAGTCATGTTTGTCCATCAAGATTTGTTCAACTAATAGCATGGCTCTTATAAAGTTCATAGTTGTGTTTTTGTATACATTTGGTATTTCTCATATTAAAATCTGTCGTTGTTTTATTTGAAATAGAATTTAGATGTCTGGGATATGATGCTAGGAACCTATTTGCATTTTTTAAACCATTGATACATTTTTCTTTCATTCATTAGTACCTTAATAGTTTTCAAAAACTGTAAAGGCAAGTACAGTGAATTAATTTTAATTCCCTTAAATTGCATGTCATTTAGACCAGTTACTTTATACTTTTCATCTCCTATCTTAAAATTTCATAATGCTACTTTTGTATCCGAGTGAGTCGAGAGCTTTTTTTCTTCTAATCAGAAAAGTCTGTCATCATAAAAAGCTTTATGGTAGGACCCAGTGAATCAAAAAAAACTTCTCCTTGTACAACTGACGTATTCATTTGGTCTGCTCTTACAATGTTTACCTTAGCTCACATGCATCTCTGAAAGGATCGCTGAGGTCACCTGTACCTACCTTGCTGCTGGTAATTTTCATATGTTCTTAAAATTATTCATTACATTAAATTTTCCTTCAGTAGCAATGATGGTTTGCATTAGAATTCACTAATGTCCTTTAGGCTATTCTGTGTGCTTATCAGCATTTGCATTAGCACACATAGGACATCATGCCTAATTAGAGAGTCACTGCTTAGAGTTGCTTCTTAATTTCTCTCTCATACCTTCTCTACATTTCTTATTTCTTGGTTTTCAGTTGACCTACTCTCACCTTCAAATAATTCCTCAACTTACTTCTGCTCATACTCAAGAAAAGAAAATCTATTGTTAGTGACTAGGTTGAAAGACTCCATAAAACTTTTGCCTAGTACTTCTCTAACTATTTACTTTTCATTCATGAACATCGATCTCCTTTCTTATTCTCATATCTAATTACATCTGTTGTTCTAACTGATGATGGCCCTTTTCATGACCAGGGTCACAAAATTTCCTGAGTTTAATCATGCAATTGTCCAAAAAATTGTAAACTTTCCAAGAATAATTTAAATCATGGTCTGCCGCAGAGAAATTCTATTGTCCTTAGATCAAGCAGTTTAACACAGGCCAGTGCAATCCAAAAAATATTGACTTTCAGTGAGGGAATTTTTATTGAAAATAAAACCTGAACTGAACTTTTGTTGGAAATAGCCTGTGAAATCCTAGCTTACTACAGACTACCAGTAATTTCACTATAGACCAGGGGTGGGCAACGTCTGGCCCATGGGCCAGATTTGGCTCATGGCGGACTGCATTTCCCAGCAGCCCCTGCCAATGTCACTTCCATGGAGACCCCAGGAGGGGTGGGGCCATGATAGCACAGGG